ATTACAAACAAGATGTTAGAACACTCCAGATGTGGCTCAGTGCTGATTGATTGATCTTTGTTGTAACCTGATTCTCTCAGCAGTGATGTAGCAATGATCTGTCACTAAGTCCTTTTTTATTTTTTTTTGGCCATTTTCTGTGTATTTAAATTTCAATAAGGTAGTTTCTGGACTATGGGGGAGGGAAAAGCGAATGTCTGCATCTTTGTTTCAAAGGAAGGCTCTCTAAAACCAAACTGACCCGCCAGCAGGTGGGTCCGGATCCAGTCTGCTAATCAGTTTCCACCGTAAATGTCCTCTTCACTCTTAAGAGCTCGACGTTTTGTTTTTTTGTTTTTTTTTGCAAATGGTGGTTTTGAAATTGTTTGGGACTAAATGTCAGGGGATAGCATGGATAATTTGATTCATTCTAATTAACCAGTTGGTTTTCCATTCATAATGGGATAAAAGGCCACCTGGTTTAAATGGTTACCATCATTTAGTCTTGGTTAATGAAGGACCATGTGGACTAGGATTAAAGGAACCATTGCTGATCACTGCAGACTCAAACGCTGGACGGGGATCCTACTTTAAATCTCAAAATGATGCGACTAGTTTTAAGTTTCTGTTTAGATTAATGCACTCATCTTCATGCTGGGCTTAAAACTTCAGCAGCTCGACTGCAGCTCTGCTTAAATCAGTCGCTTTATTATTTATTTTTCCGGCCTGTGGAGCATTTTAGCCGTCTGGCTTCAGTGGAGCTTCAGATCCTCACGCTGACTTTGCTTCTGTTTCTGCAGCTACGAAGACGGAGTGTGAAGCCAATCAGTTCCAGTGTGGAAACGGTCGCTGCATCCCGTCGGTGTGGCAGTGTGACGGAGACGAAGACTGCGCAGACGGTAGCGATGAGGGCTCATGTGGTGAGGAAAAATAATCTCTGCTTCCCTCAAACGTAACCGCTGTGCAGGAAGGGAGCAGAGCGACGGTGGGGTCTGAGGTTCCTGTTTTCAGCTCCTTCTGCAGTAAAGTTCTCCTCTAACCCACCAGTCGGCCTTTATGCTGAACACATCGCTAATCTGGACGGTTATTTAACCTTTGTGCTGCAGTTTACTAAGTGCTGACAGACGGGTAGATCTGCAGATCTATAAAACCGTTAAATGGAATCTCATTACCACTGTGGAAATGAGCCGTTCCATTTAGTCATTACGATATGGGATAGATTTAGTCGACTAAAACTTAAAAGATTTTAGTCAGTTTTATGTTGCAAAATAAAATTGACCTTTACAATTTGGAGTAACGTCCCGATTCTTTCCCAGACTGACGGCTCTATCCTAGTTGGTACAATAGCTGGATATAGAATGCTGCCTTGCAGTTCATCATTGCTGTTCGGCAGAAAACTTTGATTTATTAGAATTCAAATTAATTAATTTTTATGAATTAATGCCCTGCTCAACAATTACAAAAATGTTCCCACTTCCTGATCTGCTATCAATGTGTTACACACAGATCAATTAAACCTGCATTACTACGAAAAGCAAAGAACAAAAACATTCTTTTTTTTCTACTTTAGTAATGTTGGCTTTATTATTTCTGAGAATTTCCCCCCCGGTTCCTGCTGCTCAGGGGTCAAAGTAGATTTAAATTCACAGGGTTGGATATAAATAAATACAGAGAACCTCCATAATTGCCTTGTAATGCCATGGCAACCCAGACCTAAAATGACTGTTAACTAACGAAACTAGAACGAAATATTTACATTATATTTAAATGGATTGAATATTTCTCTCCGATTGTTCTCGTTTCTAAGATCTATGTACCTTTTCATCTGGATCTTTATCTGAAAATAAACAGAATGCAATAAAATGTCTGCTTTGGATATAATTTAGGGATTCCTTTTAGTAGAAACTAAAGAACGTTTATCACCTCTTGTGAGCTTTAAAGAAATAAAATCTTAGAAGTTGGACAAAAGTATAATTAAAAATAAGTTTGTCAACCTCATCGATGACAAACAGTTATTGATGCAGCACTGGAACTCGTATTTTCTCCTGATGTGGCTAGGCCTGCTCTGGACTTTTTCCTTCCACTCAACTTTCCTTTTATAGACTTGGATACAGAATCAGCCATATTGCTCAGGGCTGACTTCTAGGAGTTTGCTGGAAATCCTCACCAAGAACCGAATCGATGAACCAGAGTTTGCCTGTTTTTAAATTAATTTTATTTTTGCTTTTCTGAGTTTACATGCTTCGCTTTATCAGCTTTGCTTTAATCATGACTGTTTTCCAAATTCATCCTGTTATCGGCAAACGGTGGAGCTTTAAAGAACCTTTATGGTTCCACTGGTTAGGAGTCCCTCCAAAGCTTCCTGGGTTTCCTAATGAAAAGATTGAACTTCCTGCAGGGCTGAAGGAAATCACTGCGGTCTGAATGCACCTTTAGCTTAGACACAGTCTGCTCTGACTAGATCTACAGTCCTCAGACTGGTCTGTCCTCTGGTTTTTATCTAGTGAGTGTTTGCAGATGAAAGATGCATGAAGTTCTGAAAATGAGCTGCATATTTATTTCACACAGCTCCCAGACTGATGGCCGCATTAATAAGTTACAGCTAATCTGTTAACGGCTGGTTCTGTTCTGGATGAAAGGGTCGGATTCTTTGCAAGTATTTCATCAGATGTAGAAATGAGACGTTTTTCATTCAAGGATGAGCAGATTTAAAACCTTTATAAATTAATGCATGTTGTCTGACAGTGTCTAATTTCACTTGCTCCGTTTCTCCAGTTTTTACGGTAAAGCTCTCCGGAGTGTCCTGCACCATGCTGCACGTGATGCCATGAACAGAATCAGAAATAAATCTGGATCCAGGCTGAAAATGAGCACCTTGATGTCTTGAGAATGGCTTAGTCTCCATTCAAAGCCAGGTTTAAAACCCTGCCACTGGAAAAAACGATCTAGAAATGAGTAAATATTTCTTAAATCAAGTGTATTTAATCTTAATTTGAGTAGGTAAATGAGATAATTTGCCAATGGAATGAGTATTTTTACTCTAAAATAAGATAATTAGATAAAATGCACTTGAAATAAGACAATGCAATTGTGTTTTCTTATTTTAAATGTAAATTATCTTGTTCCATTGGCAAAATGTCTCCTTTACCTCCTCAATTCAAGAACAAATGCACTTATTTTAAGAAAAATGACTTATCTAGATTTCCATTTTTTCCAGTGGGGGCAGCCTAAAGCCCACTGCTCCCATTAAGACAGAAAAAAGAGGTTATTTCAGGTTTTGTATAAAGAAAGTCAATCAGTAAATTGTCTTTATACCAAACTGAACAATTGTTCAAAAAGTATTTGGATTTTAAAATGGAAAAAGGTTCCATATTTTAATTTAAAAATTCAATGTATAACATGGAGGCATAGACGCCTCATTTTATTTCAGTTTTAGGTTCTGTTTAATTTAACAGATTAAAATTAGAAACGTCTCCAGACCTTTACTGGTTAATTTTCTTTATTCGGACGCCGCTGATTGTTAATTGGTTCCCCTGATTTAGACACTTACCTGGTAGAAGGTGGCTCACAGCGCAGCTAAATATGGATGAAAGGCAGCAGAGTCGGACGTGTTCGTTTATCTGGGTCATCTGATAGAACTGAAGGGGGGGGGGGACTCAGAGAATGAGTTCACTGTTCCTTCATGAGCTGAATAAATATCAGCCTTTATATGAACTAAAGGCTGCTTCTGGTTAAGGAGAAATTTGTTTTAAATGTCCCCAGAATCTGGCTGCTCTCTGAAGACTTTCCTTTTTTCTGTTTTTATGTCTGTTCAAACTGACTCCATTTTCTGTCTTTCAGTAAAAAAGACGTGTGCTGAGGTGGACTTTGTGTGCCGCAGCGGTCAGTGCGTCCCGAAGCGATGGCACTGTGACGGCGAGCCAGACTGCGAGGACGGTTCTGATGAAAGCGTAGAAATCTGCCGTAAGTTCTTCCCAATCGCCACTAGTCCGGATCTGGAGGTTTTATGTTGGAAATTAACGGTAGTTTCTCTTTAATTGATTTATTTGACTGATTTTGAACCTGAACATTTGGATTGAAGGTGGACCTCTGAGCAGCAGAGGTCTGGTTTCCCACCCAGACGTGTTGAGCTTTAATGCTGCAGCTGTTTATGTTCCTGTTGGCTCGGTCATCTAAAGGTCCGGTACGTGCCGGTCTGTCAGCTACCAGAGCTGCTGTTCACCAGCTGTCGCCTACAACTCGGTAGCAGAGAGGGAAGCTTGTAGAGTGACTAATATGCTGGATCACGAGCATATTAGACTAATGACTAATATGCAGTCATCCAGGTCCTAGACATTTCAAAAAAATTAAAATAAATCCACTGGACTTTCTTTCCAAGTTTGAAGACATTTCTCTTCCCTTCCAGGAAGCTTTTTCAATTCGAAATGTCGTTGAAATAGCGTTGAGTTCGATGTTTTTACAGTAGCCCAACAAAGCCTTGTTTTAGACGGGTGTAGGGCGTCGCTAACCTGACTCCGCCAGATGGATTTGCTCCCACAGTGAGATTGGAAACC